GACCTTACAGTATATGTGCAAATCAAAAGAAGATGAGCTTGGGCTAGGAGTATAACTCAGTGATAGTGCACTTGCCTGGCATTTGCAAGAGACTGGGCCTAATCCTCACTACCACCACCAACTCCCACTTCCCCCAAAAAAACATAAAAATGTTGAACTTATAGTAGAGAATAAGATGGTGGTTATTAGAGGCTGGTGGGGGTGGGTGGGTAAGATGGCAGATAGGAGGATGAGAAAGTTTCGGTTAGGCAGCAGAGTAAATTTTTGAGTTCCACTGAACAGCGTGGTGACCATACTTAATAACAAGGTATCATACATTCCAAGATTGCAAAGAATAAATTTCAAATTTGCCATCACAAAAAATAAGTGAGGGGGCAGATGTTAATTAATTTGAATTAATCATTCTACATTGTATATATATATAACAAGAAATTACACTGTACCCTATAAATACATACAATTATAACTTGCCAATTAAAATAATACCAGTTTAGAAAAGTTAATGAACTATTATTAAAAGGCCAAAATTTGCTAGAGGAACATATCTTTAAAGGAATGTTCCTTTAAACTAATGGAATAATAATCCATTAATTTGATGAGACTGCATATGAGAATATTTATTTTTGCTTGTTTTTAGAAAAAGAGTATCTATATTGAGGTTTTTTTCCTCAAACTAATAAAAATGTTTTCGCTGTGGACAAAATCAGGGATAAAAAAAGGAAGGGACAATAACACTAATAAATCTTAATCTTTAGAAATTAATAGCAATCACTAACTAAGCTTCTGATGACTCACTGCCTATGAAATTCAAAGAAAAATCTCTGTAAATAAGTAGCTGAGAATATATCAAAAAATTAAAGGAAGCACAAAGTAGATATATTTGTTTTTCTATTATTCAGAATACAATTAAATATACTAATTTTTAATACTTAAGAAAAATGGTACATTTACATATCAAGAAATGCAGGATTTTTTTCTAGGCTACTTATAAAACTATACTAATTTGAATAACTATCAGTACTTCTAAGAGTATTCTTTGACGCTATCAAAGACTATTTGCTATTTACTTACTGAAAATATATTTTTCTCAAACTTTGCAGTTTTATAACATATGCTGTAGTAAAACCTGAAAAAAAAGGTGATAAAGATGCATTTCAAAATCACTGAGGGTGAAGAGAGATGGCTTAGCATATTTGTTTACACCTTATATGCGTCCCTTTCAGTCTCTCACCTCTCTCCAAAAGCCTGAGAGGGGTTTTCAGAACTATATGAAATCTCTTTTCTTTTTTATTATTATTTTAACTGTAAAATTTATAAGGTACAGTGTGACAAATTGATACATATACACAGTATGTAATGATCAAATCAGGGCAGTTAATATTTCATCTCCTTAAAGTTTTAAAAAAAATTTTTTGATTGACACATAATAGTTATACATATTTATGGGCTACAATGTGACATTTCAATACATGTATACAACATAAACTAATGAGATCTGGCTGATTAACGTTTCCATCTACTTACCATTACTTTGTATGTGGAGGCATCAAGGTCCTTTCTTTTAGTTATTAAAAAAGAAAGTTAAAAAAAAAAAAAAACCCAAAACCACATATTGATTAAGATGACTCTAGGGAGGATGGACTGGGAAGAAAAGCATGCAGAAGATTTTATGAAATCTCTTTTCTTTTTATTATTTTAATTGTAAAATTTATAAGGTACAGTGTGACAAATTGATTCATATACTGTGTATATGTATCATCTGTATTGTCAGATGCTACTGCTCCATCTAGTAATGTTAAAGTAGTTACAGCAGCCAGCTAAGGCACTGGAGATGTTCCCAAGTGATGGAATTCTAGGATGTTACCAAAATTCATCACCAGTGTGGATGAATTCAGGTACAATTAAGCTCAGACTATTTTCTTCTTGTTTTGCTTTTTAATTTAAAAGACAAAACAAAAATTGACATCAACCGATTTACTTGGCATTTTGAAGCTGTTACTGAATCATAAGAAAATAGGAGGGTGTTACTAATATACTCCTAGAAGAGAAATGGTGCTAACCCTGCCCACCATGTTTTCATATCATGTAAAGAGTGCAGTTAATCTAATGGATGAGTCAGTAATCATGAGGCAGGGCTTATGCCTAGCATTAAAAAAGGTTGCTTAACAGCAACAGAAAAGAACTCACAGGAAAAATTCTGAGACTTAAGAAAAGGAGAACAAATAGTCTATATGTAATATTTTAGACACTGCCTTTTCTAAAGGCAGAATTCAAGAATTAATTACCCCTATTTTTACTTCTGTGTTAGGGTGTTAAGAAAAGGAAAGCTCCACTCACAAGCAAACCCTTTTTTTCACTTCTAATAAACAATGAAAAAGGTAGACTGGGTATTATTTTGAAAGAATGCACAGGTACAATTGTGTCTTCTGTAAAGGTAGAATAATCCCTCAATAGTGGATCACCTTCACTCAGAGATAAGCTATCCTTTACAAACCAAAAAGCAAAGCTGAAAAGAAAATTCAAAATTCTCACTCAGGTTCCAGCCCAGGACGCAACTAGTCACAGCTAGTCAGGTAAGTTCCTTTATCCCTGTAGGCTTTATTTATACTACTTTTTAGACTATACTATTATTTTCTCTGAAAGACTATTCTTATGCTTTTGTTATCAATTTTCTTAGAAAATGCTCTGCACATGCTGAATAAGAGATAATCAAGTTTATCATTAAAGCACCAGAATAAGCTTTGTGTTTGATGATGTAGTATTCAGAAACTAAAATAATATTTTATGTATCTTTCACACATTTATATGGAACATAATATATAATAAATATTGACTAAATGAATAAGCAAACAATTCTATCCACTCCTCCACCTATTTCTCAGGTAAAAAAAAATGTTAAGATTTACTTAGATTAAATTAGGCACAGAGGTCTTATTAGAAATAACTATTCTGGTGAAAGCCATGTCATGTGTGAGAGGGAAAGAAAACCTGGCTAGGAATTAGGAGATGAAATTTCTAGTCCCAATTCTGGGATTAACTTTCTACTTATACTCAACTTGTATGATCTTAGTTTCCCCATCCATGAAAATGCGGATATTAAAATCTCTCCATAGATGAGGGCAAAACAAAATAACAGAGGAAAGAGAAGACTTGTAAAAAAAATATTTTATGAATAAAAGATATCAGCTTGTAATATACCCCAAAAAAACTGAATTTAACAATTCAAAAAACAAAAAAAGAAGATTGTGAGAGGAAAAGAAAAGTACCAAGAAACTGAACTAAATTCAGACTTTCTGATTAGAACTTTGAACTGTGCCCCCTAGAATGAAGAAGGAGGTGCTCACAGTAAGTCCTAAGCAACCTCTCATGGCACTTGACCACACTGACTTGCTATTCTTTTCACTTTTATTCTCTAAATGGACTGTATACCATATATACTTTAAAAAAATCAAAAAACTGTTTATTGAAATATAATTTACCTATCAAAAAATTCATCCTGGTAAGTATATAATTTGGTAGATTTTAGTATATTCATAAGTTTATGTACCATTATCCAATTTCAGAACATTTTAATCACCCTCAAAAGAGATTGTACTCAATTAGTAATTATTATCCATTCTTCCTTGTCTTCCCCCAACCTGTGACAACTATTGCTCTACTTTGTGTTTCTACAGATTTGTCTATTTAGGACATTTTGTATAAATGGAATGATACATTTGTTTCAGCTTTTTATTACCATAAATAGTTCATGCTAACAAAGTTCTCACCCCGAAATTAGTCCTCAGAAAATAAGAGACATTCTTTGGAGACATTACAAAGGCTTTTATAAGAAGGAACACTTTCTTATTTTACTTTGAAGAAGAATAGTATAAGCCAATATAGAAACTCTGACCAGACCCCATGAAATTCAACACAGATACAAGAAATATCTTTACAGTCAGGCATGGTGGTGCACGGACATAATCCCAGCACTCAGGAAGCTGAGATAGGAGATCCGAAGTTCTAGGTCAGCCTGAGCTATACAGCAAGACCCTGTCTTTAAATGTGTGTATGTGTATGTATGTATTATTTATTATCCATACACACACATAGACTGTTTGTTTTCCTCAGTGTTAAATGAAAGTTTGAAATTATTCTATGAAGTGTGGAAAAAAGCAATTTTTATAAACTTTTTTTTTTTTTTTTTTTGGCAGTACTGGGGTTTGAACTCAGGGCTTCTTCACACTTGCTAGGCAGGCACTCTACCTTCTAAGCCACACCTCCAGCCCCCCATAAAGCAATATTTTTACATTAACATCATTTTTGAATGTTTATAAAGTTAAATTAATAGATGTTTTAAAAGCAATTGAAAACCCAATTCTTAGCAAATATCTCAAAAAAAAACCAAAAAAACTCAACTTTCTAAATGCATGTAATATAAAAACTCAGTTAGGTAATTTTATTTATTTGTGAAGACCGATTAAAGAATAAACAGATCTTAGAGTTTACTGCCAATTCTCTCATTTTATTGATGAAGAAAATGAGGGTTAAAGAGGCTTAAATGACTTACCCAAGATCATATGGCATGAGGGCTTACTATTCATGAGTTATTTCTTAGTGCCCCTGACAACCTTATTCATATGTCCCCACTTTACAGCTGAGGTTTAGAGAAGTTAAATTATGTGCTCAAAGTTACTCAGCTAAGATGTAGCAGACATGAGAGACATTCAGTGTCTCTCTGGCTCTGAAACCAGAGTTTAACTACTTTGCTATACAAGTCTTCTTCATCTCCTTATCAGAGCCTGCTGCCCAGAATCATATAGTTTAAAAAAGCATTTAGCCAGGTTTGGAATTTCTAAATTAATTTAATTGGAACAGAAGAAAGCATTAGAGATTAAAAAAAAAAACTTGACAAAATAAAGAGAAAAAGATATGGGAAAGTGAACAGGTCTGACATTATTCTGAAGTTTATAAATACACCTACTGAAAGGCCTGAGTTACTCAAAGGAAGTCAGTTTTACCTGGTTAATTCTCTCAGTCGAGCCACCTCAGCATCACGCTGGCGTAATGTTATTCCCAATATCTGATTTTCCTTTTCAGCAGTTTCCAGCTTAAACTGGGAGTTTTTCACATTGACCAAGGCATCTTCCAATTCTAAAGCAACAAAAAAGTTTCAGCTTCCTCATTCCTTTTAAAAAGATGTGACTATTATCATAATTCAAATACATACCAATTTTCACCCTTGTCATCTCGATGTCAAATTGCTGTTTATTGTCAAGAAGAGTTTGATCTTTGTCTTTAAATATACTAGTAAATTTTTTGTTTTCATCTTTCTGATTTTCAATCACTTTTAAGAGCTCTTCATTTTTACTCTGTAGTAATTCCTGACTCTTCAGTGACTCCTCCAATTGATTTTGCAGTGACATGTTCAATGACTGAAGAGAAAACACTGCGAGACAAAACATGTCAAATAGTTGTTTGCTGATTTTAGAAATACAAACCTAGAAAAGATTTGTTTTTAGAAAATTCATTTTGCTTAACCATTTGTGCATGAGCAGTTCTACATAAATACTAAATGTATTCTTTAAAACTGATTGGCAGAAGTCTCAAGCCTTTCTTCTCCAATTGGGTATTAAATTTTCCTTTTTTCCTCTCCTTTTTCCTTTCCTTTCTT